CACGTCTGGGTTTCATCACTAACTGCTTTGTGTCTGACATCCAACTCCTGTCACCACGTAAGCTTCTGTTTTCATACCTTAGCGGCCTGATAGATGCCGACGGCGTTGTCCAGCGTCAGACTTTGCGACAGCGTCATCTCACAGCTTCTCTGCAGACCTCGGAGCTGGAAGAAAGCAGCTACAGGGAGCAGCTGCAAAACAGGCACAAAACACTGAAATCACTCTGCCTGGTTTACACAATGCTGAAAATCAATGACAAACCTTTTTTTTAGCTCAGTGTTAAAACATTTACTGACTTTAGTCTCTTCAAAAACCTCAAACACTTTTATATTAACGTATAAACGTATCGTGTGAATCTCCCCCAGTTGTCAACAAATACAAGTTCAAAAAGCAGAAAACATCATGTAAATATTGCTTTTAATTTCATGTATTATTGTGAGGAAGGTTTTCCTTTTTCCTCTGCTCAGATCTGATGTTTCTCCATTCAGGGAGTTCATTTATTCAACAGGTCTGTTGGCTTAGCATCCAACTTGTTTGCAACTTCTTGAGACTTTTCTTTCTAAATTAGCAGAATTTCCACTCAGGGATTTTTGTTGATCCTCTAAAAAAACATGTGCCAACTGATCAACAAGCAGAACCATAAATGTCAAATATTTTGTTGATTATTTCTGTAACGTTCAAACAAAAGTAGTGAAAATTTGTCAGAAATAATTTCTTTAAAAGACAAAAAAGTCCACATTTATTTGGACTACATAAACTAAATATTTGGAAGATGGGATGAACAAGACATAGAAGATGTTACCTTTATTTAATCAAAAATAAAAATCTGCAGAATAATCGATAATGAAAATGTTTTTATGCAGGCACTGATAATATACATAAAAAAACAGGTGGACTGAAACCTTATAACAGCTAATACTTAATTAAAGACAGAAGTAAATCAGCGTACAAGTCACTAAGTACATAAGTAAATTAGAAAATTTAATTCTTGTTGCCTCAGTGAAGATATATCTTGTTAAGTTTTTGATGATTATTGATTCATCGTTTATCAAGCAAATTAAAAAGTAATGTCTCAAATGGAAAACCTTAATTTAAACAAGAGCTCCTGACTGAAGTAAAATGTGACGTTTTCTGCTCAAACTGAAGGAAGTGCCGTTACAATCAATCAATAAATGTTTCCATCTCTTCCGAAGTTCACCTGCTGGTGACAGATTTGTACCTTCATGGCGTCGGAGTGAGACACAGAGAGTCCTTCTGTTCCTCCACAGTACAGACTCTTCATCATCATCTGCAGGGAAACATGCAGTCATTATGATCAGCTAGAGAGCCACAACTGGACCAGAGGACAGGAGGTCAGTTTGTCTCCTACCTGGAAGGTGCTGTAGGTCATGTGACTGATGTGGATGATGTCATCGGAATCAGCGAGCAAACGGCGAAACCTAACAGAACATGTATAGTTATTGCCTGACTTCAGTTTTCCACATGGACTGCATGTATCTCCCTGTTCCTACATAAAGTTTATGGAATGCAATTATTTTAGAAAATGTAAAAGTTTGACAGATTTTCTCAAGAACTTCTGTTAGTCTGAGAAAGTCACATCTTCAGATACAACTTATTTCCAAACGCAATACAAATCCTGACTGTTTAATACATGACAAGAAGCTAAAAACAGGAATACCTGTATATCTACCAACTTCAGTAGTCAAATTTGATCTTTTTAAAGACCAACAAGGAAAATGTAATACCATATCCTGACGGCTACAGGATGAGTTTAAATCAGTCACAATATATTTCTCACACTAGATGCCATATCCCACACAAATACGTTGCATTTTCAAAAAGAAAACAATTTTTTAGACGCTGCTTTTAAAGTATTTAAAAAAAAAAACATGTCAAACACAAAAGACAATAAACTAACATCTGATTCAAATCAACTAAAGTCACACATTAGGAACCAAAAGTTCATATTTAACTATTAAATAAATCATTTCGGCTAAAGAACGAGACCTGTCAGAGGCCGACATCAGCAGCACCCGATGAGCGTAGAAAGGACGACCTTCCACCACGAACGTCACGTCAGACATCTCCTCGTTGTTCAGAAAGTGAATATCTGAGCACAGAGACAAACGCGTCATTCTTGGTGTCTCGCTTACGTTTAGAAGATGAAAAACGAGGCAGCAGTGCAGCATTACCGAGCTGTGTGGACAGAGTGACGTCCATCGGCCGGACGGGAGAAACAGCAGAAGAACCGAAGCAGTGAGAGAAGACGGACGCCAGACGCTTCGTCACCACGTAGTCCTGCAGAGAAGAAACCACGAGGATCATCACAACACTGACTTCAGACTGTCCATCAACACAAAACAAGTTTCCTGACTGGTCTGCTGTCCGTTTCAACAGTCAGACAGAAGACATGAAGCATTTCTGGTTTACTTTGTGTTCTGAGCTAAAGACATCACATGTGGATGACATTTCAGCAACCAGCTGTTATTTTGTTTATATCCAACAGCTGAACTTCAAACCTCCAAGATCTCATAAAAGTTGAAAAACAGCTCCTGAAGACGGAGCTCCATGTTCTATAAATCAGACTCAGGGGAAGGTTGAGTTGTACCTTGCTGGTCTCCAACATGCTGAACATGAGCGGGATCCCGGTGGAGAGCAGCTCAGGGCTGTAATCCTCCGACCGGATGGAGGGAAACTCGGTGAGGAGGGAGACGGTGACATCGTCCCTGCACAGCTGCTGGGCTCTGCGGAGAGACTCCAGCCAGATGTGGAACCTCCAGGGAACACCTGGATGCAGCAGTGAGACGGAACAGAGCAACATGTGTGAAAGAAAATGTTTGAGACAGAGGCAGAGATGCTGCTGAAGTGTTTTCAGTGTTAAAGAACAGAGACTGATTGAAGCAGCCTGATCTCAAACAGCTCCACACACAACAAACAAAGCACCGAGCTGCAGCAGAGGATTTCAGTTTCTGTTTAAATTGGAAATGGAAGCAATGTTACTTTAAAAAACATGCCAGGAGTTAGCTTTATTATATTTAGATCATAGTTTTAATCAAGACTAATTTTAATGTGTTATAAAGGAAACTCTGTGATAAATCCATGTCTGGTGCTGGTGTGTATTTTCTCTCTGAGTTCAGTAATAAATGAGGTTCTTGCTCTACATCGTGTAGGAATCACACTCAGGTTAATCCATCAGGATTAGGAGCAGTAAACACAAAACATAAATTACCTATTTATCTAAAATTTGTTCAGATTTTAATATATACTAACTAATCTAGTTAGGTTTTCCTCATCTTGTGCTCACCCATCTCTCTGAGCTCCATAGTTACGTCCAGGTAGCCGTGCTCTGCGCTGTAGTAGGCGGCCTGCTGCAGGGCTTTCATCCTGGCTTTACACAGTCTGGGAACAGCGCTGGAGGAGTTTAGAGCTGGACGGTGTGTTGGAGATTTGACCTCCTCTTCCTCCTCCTCCACTCCTTCAGCCAGGATCTCCTCCAGAGAGAGGATGTCCTCCTTCCTGTGTTGCGGCTGCAGCAGCAGCCTCCTCAGGATGTTTCTGCAGATAGAAGAGGGACAGGTGAGTGTTGTGTATGGAGATGCCATGATTAATCATTTAGTTGTCAACTACCCAAATAATCAGCAACTATTCTAAGAATCAATTAATCAGCATTTTTAAGAGAAAAAGTCTAAATTCTATGATTTCAGGTTCCTAAATGTGATTATTTCCTGGTTTATTTCTGACAGTAAAAACAGATTATCTTTGGCTTTGAAAACCTTTTTTTTTACCATGTTCTGATATGTTACAGACCAAACAACCGATGGATGCCTTAATTTACAAAAATAATCTTTAGTTTCAGTGCTTATTGTGTGTTGATAAAGGAAGTAGAGAGTTATCATGTCAGAAATAATTCTCACCGGTGTCCGTGTGCTGCCGCGTAGCTGAAGCAGTTCATGTCTTCATACAGCGGTGAGGTCAGTGAATTCCCATGATGCACTCTGAGCAGAGGGTCGGCTCCGTGGGTGAGCAGCAGACTGACCATCTCATAGTAACCTGGGAAGAGGAGACATTTTATCCTGGTTATATTTAGTTTAAACAAAATATAACATGGATCTGTGTGTCAGATGAGTTAAAGAAAAAACTAAGAGCAGCACAGAAATTACAGAAACAAGTGTAGTTCACCCTCCAGAGAGCACCGTCAAGTTTATTACACAAACTATTTAAAACTTGCTACATGATTTTACAGTAACTGTTAGATGTGTACAATGTTATATGTGTAATGTGTACGTCTGGTGACACTGTGGCACATGATGAGAGCCGTTCTGTCAGAGTTTGTGAAGTAACTTTGAACTGTGAGGTGTTCAGTGACAGGATACCTGCAGCAGCAGCCAGCTGTAGCGGCGTCTCCGCTGAGCTCTCCTGACCGTCCAGCAGAGCTCCACCCTCCACATCTGCTCCGGCCTCCAGCAACAGCTGTCAGCAGGGAGACAACACTGTTACAGCATCGTACACTCAGCTGCTTCAGTCAGCAGCCTCTGCACTCATTAAAGAAGCATTAGAGTGTGTTAGCGCATCAGATTTAAAAATAAAATACATCAATATACACACCAAAGCTGCCTTAATATGCCTTTTTATTTATTTGGCCCTTGGTTTTTTCTGTATACTTGTTTGATTTATAAAGTTCAGGCACAGCTTTAGGTTGTAATGGTTTAATAAGAACAAAAGAAAGCTTGTGTTTAAACTGCCTCCTTTTTCTGATTGTGTATTTTCTGCTTTAAGAAACATTTATCTCATTGAGGAACGATAACTGTATTATTATAAAATGGATTGACAAAAAAAAAACGAGAGAAAGGCAACATACACGATAAACTTTAAAAAAATAAATCAGTAGAAAAGTTGTGTTTCTTCTCAAAACTGTTCACAAATGCTGCTGAAATCAGGTCTGATGTTCTTCCTCTCACTCTGCCTTTACTCTCCATAAAGAGGATCAACTCCATTGAAACGTGCTGCTACTGTTACACACAATCGCTCACCTGAGCCACAGACAGGTGACTGTGCAGCACAGCGAACGTCAGGGCGACCCAGCGCCGACTGCTGGAGTGAACAGACGGGTGTCTGGTGGAGCAGCCGGGCACCTGAACAGAAAACACGCTCAGACTTCAGCTCATAAAACCAGCTGTGAAGTGCAGCAGCTGAGTCGGTGTGTTTTTACCTGCAGGTCCAGCTGAGCTCCGGCCTCTATGAGCATCTGCACCAGCGCCTCGTCTCCGGCTGCAGAGGCGTACATCAGAGGAGTCATTCCCTGCAGGAACACACAAAGGAAAGAGTTTTAGCATTTGAGTGGAGTCACCAAATCTACCAAAATAGCAGATTTACACACAATACATGAGATCTAAATACATACATGAAGTTTCTGCGCAATGAGAAAGAAATACACCTGTGTCTGAACATTAGTGGGCAGCAAACCAAATTCAGCATCAAAAATGTGTTCAAAGTATGAAAACAGATGTGGGCAGAAATCTTAATTTGTGTATTTGTCAGTTTTATCAGTGGATTGTATATAAGTGTTTTTTATATAAAAATGGATGATGTGTTTTCTACTTTTTCACCTTCGTCCCACTACAAAATGTGAAGCCAGTTGCGGCTGTGGTTGAGTAGTTTCTTGTGCTTTCACCTAAATAAGTTTTACGGTGAAGGTTTCAAATGCTTAACCGTGTGACCGTATCAGCTTGTTCCCACTCTTCATTAAATTTAAATGACATTTACACCAAATGAAACACTAAAAAACAAGCCTTTAGACAGCACCACCTTCACACTTTTAATAAACACTGACCTCCACATATTTATTAGGTTGTCGAAGTTCTGCTGTTCTTTTCTTTTTCTTTTAATTTTAGTTTTAACTCAAATGTCACTGTATCTCTCATGACAATAAAGCTTCTAATTCTATTCTTCTTCCTTACTAATGTATGTTTTTACAATTTGAGTCTTATTTTCACCTTCACTATTTGACACATGGTCTTTTTTTTTTTTTTAAATTAAAGTCTTTATGAAAGCGCCATCAAATGAAATATCCTAGACGTCTTGTGCTTCATTTAATGCAAACATCATCAACATTTGGCACAGTTGTATGTTTGAAAGGTTTGGGATCTGCACAAGAGTCGTAGGTGTTTAGATGCACAGCGTGAGTTTGTTTGAGTGATCTACCAGTAGGCCACGGCTTGTTATAGAAGGTGTAAAGAAAATGATTTAACAGTTTCACAGTTACCTAACTAGAGGGAATTGTTAAGTGCAGATTTGTGTTTTAGCTGCACTGCAACACTGGAAAACTCCAGGAAGTATTAGTACAACGTTGTAAATAAATACGCATCAACAATGAAACAATAGTTACTGCTGTCGGTGAAAAACTGTGTAAAATAAACAGAACTAAACATAATGTACACTATAAGCGATCAACAAACAGCAGTGAGCTTTCAGCCCCCACCTGGTCGTCCATGGTGTTGACGCCTTCATCTCCCAGGAGCCTGGTGGCCTGGTGGACCAGGTCCGCTCGGCCACATGACAGCATCCTGAAGCCCAGATCCAGCTGGAACTTGGCCGAAGCAGCTTCAGCATCAAGACACTTAAAGGACTGGAAGCAGCACTCGGACCTGCACAGAAACACAAATGTTTACCTGCTGGTCGCTCATCCAGTGTTTCTGGGTGGAGCCAGAAGGCAGCAAAAATGAGGAGGAGATTGTTTTATCCCACTGCTGGGAAGGGCTTCATGGTTCTAAAATGCAGATACTGCGGTTCATATGAGCTATCAGTAACACTCTGTTCCTTATAGATGTAGCGGTGGACCTGTTTACTGTCTCACTGCAACTTTGTGCTTCACTGGACAGACTGGTTTTAATCGCACTTCATTTGTAACAAGCAGAAGAGAAGAAGAACAGAAAGGAAAGAGAGAGGACAGCAAACATCAAATACAGATGTACAGTTCATCACACACTGGGGTTTACACATTGTTACATAACGTTCAGAATATAATGGAGCTAGAAAGGAAAAGCATTGTCCACCCTTCTCTTAGTGTAGCTGGAGGGAGTAAGCTATCTTTTTATGTAGGTGAGAGTGCCACTAAAAATGTCCACAGTGGAAGAGTTTTTTCAATTACAGCCATAAAAACCTTCAAGGAGGTGAAGATTACTTAAAACCAAGACAGAGGGAGAAAAGGTCAGCGTCCTCGATATTAAACATCCACTTTGTCCCAGTTCCAAAGCTCTCTTAAATAAATTTTCTGTGTTGTTGGCTGGTGGATGTTGCTTTTTCAGATCCAGGCTGAGCTAAGCTTGCTGCTGCAGGACTGCCAGGAAAGCCATGAAGCTGTACTGCTGCCTGTTTGTGAAACTGCAATGAGCTGCTTTATGTTCCTCTGTGTATTAAATAGAGACGATGCAGGTGGGGAGGATTTTATGCTGTTTAAAGACACTTTTTGCCATTTGGTGCTGAGCAATGAAAGTAAAGGAATACATCGTGTAAAGTTAGTTTACAGAATTCATCTGAAGATATCTTAAAAACCACACAAAGTGATTTAACTCCTATGACTTTCATTAACAAGAAAAATTCATTTTTATTGATGTCAGTTCTGGGCTGCAAGGTGGATCAGGGGTTAGCATCGTTGCCTCGCAGCAAGAAGGTCACCGGTTCGTGTCCCGATGAGGACACCCGGGATCTTGCATGTTCTCCCCGTGCAGCGTGGGTTCTCTCCAGGTTCTCCGGCTTCCTCCCACAAGTCCAAAAACATGTTGAGGTTAATTGGTGATTCTAAATTGTCCGTAGGTGTGAATGTGAGTGTGCTTGGTTGTCTAAGTGTAGCTCTGCGGTAGAGTGGAGACCTGTCCAGGGTGTCCCCTGCCTTAAGTCAGCTGGGATAGACTCCAGCCCCCCATGACCATAGTGAGGATTAAGCGCTGTATAGATAATGGATGGATGGAAGATGTCAGTACTTACCAGCTGTATAAGATTTTCTAATACAGCTAACCAGTTAACATGACCTGTAGGTTGTACATGAAAACTGACACTTGTTTTAAACCTTAAGGCCTTTTTTTGGACTGAATTCAATGTTTTTTTTAAAAACTTCAGATACCCTGACAGCTGTGTTCTCACTTTCTCAGTTAGTAATTGATTACAGATTAAGGAACTCTGCCTGTTAAAGGAGTATCAACAAGTCACTTTGGACCACATTTTTACCCGAGCTGTCTGGGCTCACAGTCCAGTCCTGGTAGCAGCTGCCTGGCCGTCTGTCTGACATCATCACTGTCCACCAATAGGCTGCGGCGATGTTCAGCGTGCACCACGGCGACCCGGATCCACTCCATGAGAGGAGGGAGGAGCAGGAAGGGCCTGGATGAAGATTTTGATCGGTTTAGATGACGTGAAACACAGCTGGACGACCTTCAGACCCAGGATCAGTGCTGGACTCACCTCTCTCTGCTCAGCGTCATGGCCGGAGGCTCCAGGTTGGGGTTCTCCAGTGATTCCATCTGTGGGCTGCACAGGAAGTAGTACAGAGTGCGGAGGGCGTCCGGAGCCCAGGACGCTGACAGCTGATTGGCTGAGCGAGTGTGACCGACGGAGGGACTCGAGCTGCGCAGACGCTGCATGTGGTGCATCGCTCGAGACACCAGATCACCTGCAGGAGCAAAGAAATCATCACTATCCGGAGTTTCTACAGGATCACCACAATAAAACCTTTATTACACCACAGAGAACCCAGTTTAACAACATTTTCATACTCAGACCAGCAACAGAAAACCAGGAACAAGCACAGTAACTTATTGACATGTGTATCAGAGTTTTGGCAGTACTTCAATCAATTACTGTCATGATTACATGTGGCAGAAAAACAATTACAACAGGAATGGATTAAGCATTGAAAAACAACAAGAGGTTTAACTAATGTTATCATCCACTGCTGCCAAGGAAACACATTCTAAATGCTCTAATACTTTTCAACGCCCTGCACATTCCTGGTTATCGTTTGTGCAGATTAAGATGATTTAATATCTTTGTGATTCTACATTAAATAAAATGTAACACCTACTGCACCGTCACACTGCTAAAGATATCAGAGAGAACCAGCAGGTATGAAAAGGCCCCAGATTTTACCATAATAGATGTCAAAACTATGATTATGTGTAATAAATGAGAAGGTTGTTTTGACATCCTATTACATATCTCTGCAAGCAAAGTACAAAAACAAAAGAAATCAAACATGTTGTCTAGTTGAGCATTTACCAATTATAATCTTATAAAGAGTGTTACCTGGTGTTAGCCTACCAGTCTGCAATAGTTGAGTATTGCTTGCATTTTCTTTCAGAGGGAGTTTCACTGATTCTGTCGCTCAAAAGTTTTCATATCCCCCCATATGACCCTCAAGACAGACAAATCTCTTGTCACCCAACAGCACTAATATTTTAAATGTAACAAGGTGTAAATGTAAAAGCTGGGTTTATAGTAAAATATACAGAACGTGGTGTATTAAACCTGTCATCAGCAGATCCATAAACCGGCCTGAACAGTGAAGGCACTTCTTTTATTTTCTCTCTGTAATGAGTGTCTGGATAATGAGCTACGGTGGCCTGCAGGGCGTGAAGGTGCCCTTGTTTTCTGGAAACAAGCCACAGGTTGTTATGTAACCGAGGGGGAGCTGGCAGTGTCTAACGATGTGTCCCGGGAGACCGACGCCGGTCACAGTTTAAACAAACACACACAAAACACAGCGGACGACTGTGGCGGCGGTCACACACACACACACACACATACACAGGCAGACTTACTGAGCTCTGCGATGCTGCCAACACAGGTGGCGAGCAGCGCCTGCTCCAGCGTTCGCAGCTCCAGCTGGATGTAGGCATCCTCCCTGCTCTCCATCAGCTCCTTGGGAACCTTCGTGTACGGGCTGACATGGGCCGGCAGCGACAGCTCACCTAAACAACAACAAGGATTAAATATTAATGCTTTACAGTCACTCCTTTCAGTCACACTTCTTTATATTCAAACTACTGCAGTGATTATTTTATACACACATTTCTTTTCCTTAGTGCATAAACCCAAATTACTTTTGTAATTCAATCATTAGATCTAAATCTTATTTTGAGATATTCATGTTGCCAGAGAAACTTTTGGCACAACCCAAAGAGATTTCAGCCAGCGTTAAAATGACAAGCAATTAGAATTTAGACAAAAAGAAATATTTAAACAGTTTTCTCAATTGGGGTTTTATTTATCACAGATAGCCGACACTTTTGTTCATCAAATGGTCAGAAATATCATGAAAATGCAAAGATATCTGTCAAATAAAGTAACACAAACTCCAAATTTAAATATCAAATCATCATCTCCTGTTTTCTTGCCAGGTTGTGAAAGGTTTGCAAGCATTTGTACCACCAAACATTGTATAATTCTCTCTCTGAACATACCACAGCATCAGGGCTTTTTCATGTTATTACCATGACACACTACAGAGCCAATCACATGTGGGAGTGACATGACGCACACACTTACACTTAAAATCACTGGGCCACATTTTCACACCACACGCACACTGTGGAGACCCTCGTCCATTGTGTCCCATTGAATCGAGTATTTGCTGACTCCTGATCTTCCACACAATGGAAACACCATCAATGAGGGCAATCT